TAATAGATCTCAAAATTACATGTTAAAACAAATTTTCTTCCTAGAATGAAAGTTAAGGCTCAATTTAGTTAACTGAAAATGTATTAAATTAAAGATGGAAGAGTTCAGATACAATAGAGGTTGTATCTAAATACATTAACACCATGCTTATAATTTTTTCACTATAGCATTTACAATAGATTTAAAGACCCTGACAATAAAACACATATTCAATAAGCCTGTTAAAGTGGAAATTAAAAATTAAAAACCATTTAACAGGCAAAAACAAGTAATAATCACTTAGATTAACAAAACTGTGACAATTACATTTTGCCCCAGCATTCCTAAATTATTAACTGTTCTATCTTCCAAATGCCCAAACAAGAGGATACGGTTACTCTCCCACATCTTATTCAGATGAGGGGTTTTGAGCCCTTACCATGTGTGAGCTGCAGTGCTGAGATCCATGCAGGCATCAGAGGTGATTGAGGCCAAGGGGCAAACCTCAAGGAGACAAGGACAACTCCCAGTGGTCATGACCAGGCAAAGCAGAAAGACAGTGCCAGATTAACAGCTTTGGATTTATACTAAGGAGTCAGTCCTTGTTTTTCACATGCCAATTTAATTCTTGAATCTCCAAGTCATTTTCCATTCATTGATATCTAACATATATTGATGTTAATACCACCAGAAAGCATTACTATCTTTAAAGATGGGCAATTGAAATGGTGTTTGATTCAGTGATCTGACTTTTGTTTTCTAGTTTATCAAAACTGAAGCAAGAAAGATCTGTGTATTTACTTCATGCAATCCCAAATATGTGAAAAACCATAAATATGTGAAATGTGATGCTGGATTTGATTTGCTTTTCAAAATGGTTCTTTCCTGTACAAAAGGACTCTTTATAAATAAATATCCTTCAAATGTCAATCTCCTCTATTAATTTGAGCATCTGGTTAGAATTTTTTAAATTGTATTTTTATTCCAGAATTATGAATTCCCCAAATAATGAAAGTCTCTTTCAGAAGGATGCATATGGATGCAGATTGTTTTTTCAAGTTAAGGCAGCCTTGCAGGTGAAAGGGGTGTCACACCAGTGGATTAGGAGGAGTATTATCATAAGTAATTATGTATAGTCTTGAAAAGATAACTGAATATTTCTTAATGATTATAAGAATGCATGTTGATTAATAATCCATAAAATAAATTGCATCTGCTCTCAGGGAAACTTTGAGAAAGATATTATTATTTTATTTTTTTGGTTTTAGACCTAAAACCAAAATAGTAAGTTTCACAGGTCCAGCACAGTAGCTGAAATGCATGGGCATGACTTCTCCAGGTTTGGCCTGTCTTGTTCATTTTCCAAGGTGATTATACACTATTATACCTATTCTACCACTGATATGTGTTCTAGGAGATCCACAGCCACACCAGTAACTGATGATGTCAGTCACTGAAGTCATTTTGGTGGGTATGCAGAAATGTTGCCTTTTATGTTTTCTGAGAAGAATGTTAAAGTTTTTTTTTTTTTGCTTAATCATTTGTGAAATTTGGAAGCATCTATTTAACCTTTTTCTCACTTTCAATTGCACTTTTAGTCATCATTTTACCAATAAATTGATTGCTAGTGTCTGTGGCTTGCTCTTCCTTTTCTTTTTTTAAGCTGATGATTAAAAATAAAACAGGAATTTCTTATTCTGATAAAATACTGAATTTGTTAATTTATTCTTCTTCTTCTTTTTTGTTTTTTTGGTACTAAGTATTGAACTCAGGGATACTGGACCACTGAGCCACATCCCCAGCCGTATTTTGTATTTTATTTAGAGACAGGGTCTCACTGAGTCTCTTGGTGCCTTGCAGTTGCCTAGCCTGGCTTTGAACTCAGGATTTTATTGTCTTAGCCTTTCTAGCTGCTGGGATTTCAGGCATGTGCCACCACTTAATTTTTTCTTGTATGAGTAATGCTTTCTGTGTGTTGATCAATCCTTGACTATCCCATTTTCATGATAATTGTATCTTAAGGTTTTGATCTTTTGAGTTTTACATTGTTGAATAAACATGGTAAGAAAAGATAAATTTGCCTCATTGCTGATTTTTTGGGAAAAGCATTAAATAAAAATATCATTGAATTCAATATTAACTTTAAGTCTCTCATAGATGCCCTTGCTTTGTCAAACTGAGGGAACTCCACCTCTATTTATAGTTTGCTGAGAATGTTTGTCATTGTATATTAAACTTTGTCAAGTATTTTCTATCCAGGGATATGACTAGATTTTTTCCTTCCTTATTCTGTTATGTACTGGATCAGTTAATTACAGTTAGAATGCTGAGTTAGCCTTGCATATTTCCCCACACATTTGTCATTTCATTTATTTCTGTGTATTAGTTTCCATATGAATCACCCATTTCAAACTAAAGGGAATGCAAATCAAGGCAATTGTTTTTCTGTTTTGGTTTATCTAAAGTTTTCTTTTGATTATTTTAGAAAACTATTTTTGTAGCATTTAAATCCTGGACTGACAAATGTCATTTCATTGATTCTGCCTCCACTGTTCCTGATAAAGTTGGCCAAGTTTGCTTTTAAGATTCGTATCTTTCACTATAATTTACCTGGTTTGGATGTCATTTGTATTTATTATGCCTGGGTTTTCCCATTCTTTTTAAACTTATAAATTGGTGGTTTTGGCCAAATTAGATTGTGACCATCATTCTTTCTGTGTTTGGATAGTTTGATAATTATTCCCGCTATATCTTTTCCCTGTACTTTATTTCTGGCTTCCAGAGTTTATATTTTCTCACAAGTGCCTGAGGCTTTATTCACTATTGAACTCTCATATTTGTTAACTGTTCTTCAGGTCAATGGTTTCTAAGTCTGTCTTCTTGATCACCCACCTATTTTGCTACTATTTCTAATCTGATGTTATACCCATCCAGCATCTTTTAATTTCAGACATTTTGCTTTTCAATTCTAAAATTTCCATTTGTTTCTCTTTTGTAGTTTCCATTTCTCTGCTGAGATTCTCTATTTGTTCATTAAGAACTTTGTGTTTAAGTTCTTTAACATATTTTAAAAGCAACTTTAAAGTCCTTGTCTACTAATTACAGCATGTGGGTCATCTCTGGCTCTGTTTCTGTTTACTGCTTCCTTAAAAAATTGAGTGTGGTTCACATTAACCTGCTTATTTATATGTCTAATGATTTTTTTGTATGTTGGACATTATGAATGAAGTAGTATACAGTGGGGACATTTATTTACCTTTTAAAGAGGGTAGAGTTGGTCCATCAGACAGTTAATTGCTAGTCATTCTTAATCTTATTGAGGCTTGATTTTACTCCTTTATAGGATTTGATGATTTAGAGTAGCTCTTACTCTAGGACATGGCTCTTTCCCTCCAATTTGAGTCCTTTAGGGTATTTTGGTCACATTTTCAAGATATCACTGAGGTCTTTCCACTCTAGTCTCTCTTCTCCCAGCAGATTGTGATTCATACTGTCTTGATTTCACTGTCAGGTCTATATCAGCTATTCTTGTTGGCCACACAGAAGTGCCTTCTTATATGTGCAGTGCAGCCTTCAAACCAGGGTCTTGTGAACAAACCTCATATCTTTGAAGGCCCTTCTTGTAGTTCCTTATCCAGTTCTCTAGGCTTCTGCAACTTCACCAGCCCTGCATTGCACTCTGTGTGTGGAGTTTCTGATTTGGAAGGATTGAAGTAACGCCCAGGAATCTGCATTGCTAATGCTTGTCTAGATTATACTGAAGCTGCTGACCTAGGTGCCACACTTTGACAAGTACTTGCTTCGAAAGGTGAATCTTCAGGAAAATATTAAGACCCAATACATACAGTTTTGCTTTTTTTTGGTCCTGTATTCAGAATAATAGATTTATATTCCCATTGATTTATATAGTGATAGTATTTATTCAAAATATGATTTTATTAATTCAAAATATGATTTTCAAAACATTATGTGGGTTATTTTGGCATTGAAAAGAATAGATTCTTAATTTAATTGGTAATTAAAACTAGAAAACATAAGAGAATAAGTAGTGTTCTATAATAATGAAGTCTTTTCATTCTTATTTATACACAAAAATGGACTTTTCCATCCAAATATGAAACTTGATGAACATAGTATTTGTTATATTAAAGAAGAATTTGATTTTTATTCATAAATTGGACTCTATTTTAATTATTCTTAGGCTTGTACACATGTGCGTTGTGTGTATATGTCTGGCCCAGCTATATAAAGCAATGATAAAGGAGCCTTGTTGGAGCCCTACCAAGCAGATTGCTGCCTGCAATTCCTGCCTCAGAAGATTTTCTGACACTTTGCATTTTGTCCTTTAGTAGTTATCTAGATAGCTGTTAAAATCCATCTATCCCAGTAACAGGGCTTATCTCCTCTCTTGCCTCCATTGTTTCACCAGTCTCTCCTTATTTGTGAGGATTTAGGAAATTATTGCTCCCTTATAATTTAATCCACACCTTTCCTATCAGTATAAGTCTTGCACTGGTCTCCATTTGGTGACTGTTATTGTTACAATGGTGACATGGCTTCCAGTGGCCGACAGGACAGGTGCTCAGGATAGGAAGTGTCACTTCAACAGCAGTATGTGATTTGTTTGTTAATTCTAATGTATCTCTGACAACTATTTTACTTCCCAACCTCTTTAATTTCTTTGAGGAATTGCTACAACATCATTTGTTGGATAAATCAGAAGGCTATGGGATAGCACATTTTAAATATTGTTTCAGCTGCAAGGTGCAATTAATAAAATTTCATTCTCAGCTTCAGAAATTTGTTTTAAAATAATACAGGAAGGTACCAGATTGTAGCTCAGTGGTAAAGTGTGTACCTGGCACATGTGAGGTACTGGGTTTGATCCGCAGCACCACTGAAAAATAAATAAATAAAATAAAGGTATTATATCCATCTACAACTAAAAATATTAAAAAGTATTAATATATGAATACTACAATACTAAGTAAAATATTAATTATTAAAAATCATGTCAACAGGTTCACTTTGATGGTTGGGACCATAAGTATGACTATTGGCAGGAGGCAGACAGCCCTGACATTCACCCCATTGGCTGGTGTGATGTAACAGGACATCCCCTGGAAGTGCCACATCGTAAGTATTTTGCTTTTCATTGTTGGTTTTGAATTGTGATTTTGAATTCCAGCCTTTCTTGATTTCATACTCCAGCATTCCAGGAAGATGGTTCTCATTTTATGTTGACCGCCTTCCCCAACATTGCTCACCTCACATCTTAGTCCTGTCATTGCAGACATTTGAAAGCTAAATAAAGATAAGTGAATTAATCATTGCTACAGCTACATCGAATTCTAATTATTCTCAGGCCTCGGAGGACATGCTTTATGTAAATGAAAAGTAATACTTACAAGGAAATTATTTTGATGATGTTTTCCAAAGGAAACTATTTTCTTTATTTTAGTTTGGAGAATTCAGTCACCATCTCTAAATCCGTCTGGTCATTACTTTTAGTTCAAGCCAGATTTGTTTATTTAAACAATCTTCTTAATTTTATTTTATAGAATATACTACAAATAATTTTAGGGAAAAACATCCTAAAATATTTTAGATTTCAGCAATTTCAGACTTTTTTGATTTTAAAGGTTTTTATAACCTCTATTTTATTGGCATATTCTTTATTTTTGCCTTTCTAGCCACTTAAAGTTAAGGAGGAAATTAAACACTCTAAATTCTAATGAGTTTCCAACCAAAATCCCTTATTCTTTTGTCTGAGGAGTCCTCTGATCCGATTAGGCTGACATGACTAATAACTAGTTGCAGACACTTGTGCAAGTGTTCTCCATTCTTGGGTTTGTTTTGCTCTCTCCCTCCTTGTGCTTCCCTCCCTCGACACCTTGGGATGGAGCTGGCTTGAAGTGTGTTAATGAGGTGTCTTATGTTGAGCCAGTCTAATGAGCTTGAACCGTAGACCTTGAAGCACCCATGTCATCTGTGAGAGAATCCCCCAACTTCTGTCAGAATGAGAGGAATCCCTGACTAATTTGACAGTCTCACATTGTGCTGGGCTCCTTAAAATCCACAGCATCAGTAAGATGCATGCTTTTATGGAAATGACAATGTTTTGGCAAGTGGAGGCTCTCTGAACAAAGAATGGCAGACAAGACACTGATCAGCACCCTTGGGGGATTTCAGGTCTGAGAAGGAGCCTTTTAATTTTCTCTGGTCCTATATTTTTGTTTTCTTGATTTCATACCCCAGCATTCCAGGAAGATGGTTCTCATTTTATGTTGACCATCCTCCCCAACATTGCTCACCTCACATCTATTCCTCACTCATGTCTTTTTCAAGTAGAAACAATTTCAGCTGTAATAGCCATGGGCCAGCAATGCAGGTATAGGGGCAGCTCTCTTCACTCTGCCTCACTCACCACCTGCTCCTTTCTCAAGCTGCTCTCCTGGCTTCTCGGCCTGAATGCTGAAGTCTCAGTATTAAATTTGAACTCCATCTCCACCCCAGATTTTTCTCTTTTTACTCTAGTTCCTCCCTAACTTTCTTTTTCTTTCTAAAAAATCATACGGAGACTTCACTTTCTTTTTGCCCTTCCACTACCCACGTGGGCAGCCAGTCACCAAGGCCTGCTGATTCTTTAATTTCAACAGAATCCAACTCTGACTTCCACTCTGCCTCCTCAATGCCTTGCATTATTTTGAGCTCTCATCATGATTTCAAATGATTCTCAGAATTTGGTCTGCACTCTGCTGGCAAGTGGTACAGGTCTTCCAACCAAGTCTGGGAAGAATCAAAAAAGGCAAATTCTCAAGGAAATACAGTCTAGTGGTTAAAAACATGAAAACTGGAGTCAGAATGCTTGGATCTGAATCCCAGTTTTACTGTTTGTTTATTTATGTGTCTCTCTGTGGCTCAGTTCCCTTGTATAAAATAAAGGCAATAAGATCTGTCTCATAAATGTAATAATGAGCATTTCATAAACTGCCTGGCTCATAAGTAAGTGCTCAACTAAAGTTGTCTGCTATGAAGAAATGTTACAATATTCCAAAATTTTTCATTATTATATAAAACTGGGAATTATGAAGGGTTCCAAAATTGAAATTTAGCTAAAATCAAGCTGACTGGCTATTTCAAAAAATTTAAATAAACTTTTTATAAAAGTTTGACTTCCAAATGTTGTTGGGAATATTATAAGCTTCCTATATTGTGTACTTATACTCCAGAAATTAGAATCCCTAGAATTTAGGTAAAGATAACTTATAACTGGCTGTCTTCTCTTGGTCATGATTTTCTGTTTTTACTGTGCTTCATATTTTCTTATAAATTTTATTTTGCTCAACAATTATTAATGTGGTCTATTGCAGATTGTTTGGTTAACCCTATGATTACAGTTATGCATCCTAAGAATTTGTGTAAATGATTTTCAAATTCATAGATTTTAAGGCAAACTTATAATATGGTTTAATATGTATCACCCATGCTCCTGTTGCTAAAGCAAAAATACACGTACTCTTACTACTCCTGTTATTTATTTATGTATGTATGTATTTACTTATGCATTTATTTATCAATAAGTGAATTATTCTTTACCTGGAATGTAGAAATGGTTGGTCTTGTACTCAAAAAAGCTTGAGGGTCTGGCCTTGACAGTTGCAATGGATACATGACTGTCTCTTCCTATTTTTGTTTGCTTTTTTAAATATTTTTAGTAGTTGTAGATGGACAGAATGCCTTTATTTTATTTATTTATTTTTTATGTGGTGCTGAGGATTGAACCCAGTGCCTCATGGGTGCTGGGCAAGTGCTCTGCTGCTGAGCTACAGCCCCAGCCTCTGTCTCTTTCTGTTTTTGTTTTTTTCCTAAAACAGCCTGGGAAACTCCAAATTCTTTGTCTCAATTCTTGAAACTTTTCTCTGGCACCCAGCAGTCTCTAAGCTCTAGATTTCTTCACATGTACTTTGCCCATCTAGGTATCTTAACCTGCCTCCATTATTCTCCTCAAACCCTTTATTTACTTAATAGATTTACTCACTAGTCCCCTGAATGCTGTCCTCCTAAGAGGCTGAAGTCAGTAACTCATTTCCACAGCTTTCCTCCACACCTCAGCTTCCTTCACAGAAGATCAGCAGCCCTCACCTGGCATGGGGTGCCTATGGGGAGGAGGCAGAGCAGGCATGCTTCCCCCTGGGAATGACGCACAGCGCCTGGACTCACCCTGTATTTTATGGATGATACTTGTACAGACAATCGCATCAGATCATCTTCTACTTCTGAGTGTTACTTTAAATCAGAGTTGATTTTATTTATTCATGTGATTCAAACTAAACTCTTCTCACAGAAATGTCCATTATCCTTGATAATCAGATGAAAATAATTACATTTTATAAGTAAATATATATAAAACAAAACACAATATCTTACTGCATATGAATGGATAGTCATCTGACAAACATTAACTTTCAGATATTTTGAAGATATTTCCAGATATTTTAACTTTCAGATACATTTTGCCTTCTGTTTTTTAATTTGTGTGACTCAAGAATCATCTTTATTACTTTATTTCATGAAGTATAATTGCTTTATTGATCAAACATGGTAAAGACTATCAAAAATTTTAGGACTTAGAAAAAAAATCTTAGAGATATCTACTTTGCTATCATTTTATAAAAATAGAGCCTGGCTTACGCTTTATCTCTTTTATCGATTTACTTTATTTAATTTTTACAAATGTTATCATAGCAGGTTGCTTATTAGTGATATTATGCAAAAGTTAGAATGGTCAAAAGAAAATATGAGGTAGGCAGTTCTTTAATCTATTCTCATCTTTTTTTCTTTATGTTTCTTATTTTACAACACATTTGTAGCTAATATTATAATAAATATCTTAGAAACAGAGAAAATGCATATTTGTATAAAATGCATATGTATGTGTGTATTCTTTATTATATATTCAGTATGCTTTGTTTCATTTCAATTTATGTCTGAAGAGGCTATAGTTTATAAATGTATGAAACATAATGAAATCACACAGCTACTTATCTGTGTATTAAAAACTAAATCTAGATTGCTAATGTTGATTTAAAGAGTGGGCAGAACCATGAGTTTGCCTGGAAAGCCCTCATGGAACAGTCCAGAACTGGTTCAGAAGCCCATGCTTGACCCTATCTAGTGGCAGTCTTTCTAGAGATGGAAGTCACCATGCATAAGCAAAAGTGGAACTCATTGATTCTCATACAAATTTTATTAGTATTTGCTAAAATTTTAGATCTTTCTAAATAAATAGTGTCTATTTAATTTCCATTTTGCTAAGACCGTTTAATCTTATTGTAAAAAGTGAGCTAAGATACTACATGCTGTTTCTTCTGGCTTCTACAGAAGTGGTTGTGCAATAAATGTTGGCTAAGACCATAATTTAATGTAAGTCCTTGGAAATATAACAGAGAAAAACCTCTGGAGAGTGAAAACTTGAATGTTTCCGTTCAACTAGGAGTTTGTATGACCAGGTGACCACAGCTTCCTCCTAGCAGCTGTTCCCACAGACAGGCACTCACCTGCACATCACCCTTGATTCCACTTTAGGGTATAACTCTCCTTTCCTCATCAGGGAGGATTCTGTTTTCTGTTTTACCCAACATACAGTCCTTCATGAGGGACTTTGTTTGCACTTAGAATCAAAATGAACTAATTAAGGTGTGGCTCTATTGAGTTGTTAAGATCTTTTCATCACACTTTGTATTCCCTGCATGTCCTTAGATACCAAAAGAGCCTAGCTTAAAAACCATGCCTACCTCCATCATCTCACTGGAGTGCATTTGGCAGTCTTTTTGGTGACATCAAGCAGAAACTTATCTCAGTCACATTTTTTATTAAATTTTTAAATTGAGCTCATTTCTTTTACTATATCCTTTATTATTTGCCCACAGATTAAATACTCCATTGGATAATGAAGTATTTCTTGCTTTAGAAATTAAACAAGCTTGAGGAACAAGATGATGGACTTTGGAGTTAGAGATTCTTGGGTTTAAATGTTCATTCTGCTCCAACTCTGAGTGCCCACCACTTCACCTCTAGGCCATGCAGTCTTGGGAGAATAAATGCAATCCCAGTTGCTGTTCTTCAACCTGGTA